GTTCGTCCCCATAGCCTGTTGTTGTTGATATATTGCGTTTTTAAGGTATTGTCATAACTCATTGTCGTGGCCCCTCTCAGGGACATCAGAAGAACTCATTTTCGAATTTCGACTTTAAACTTTGTATAGAGAGAGGCCTCAACGAGAGTGGTTTATTGTGAAAGTTTCAGCTCTATTGAATGCTCCTAATCGTAAATAAGAACACCAAAATTCGCCTTCGCAAGTGACATTAGGTCGCCATAGCCGTATCTTAGGATACGAACAAGGAATAGGTCTGAAAGTTTCACAATCAACCACTCTCATTGAGACCTCTCTCTGTACAAAGTTTCAAGTCGAAATTCGAAAATAAGTTTTTCTGATGTCCCTGAGGGGAACCACGGCAGTGAGTTATCCCAATATCTTAAAAACACAATATATCAACAACAACATGCTATGGGAACGAACCATTTTAGGGCTCTTATCATGCTCAAGAAGAAGAAGAGTACCCCGTCTTTCGGCTACCTTGCGGTATAGGGTGCTGTCCGAAGACAGGTCCTAGAAGCCCGATAGTTTCCTACATCTATTACTAAATGTAGCTCTGGACAGAAGGCCGGCCTGTCTCAGAGTTCTTCTCGCTTAATTTCTTAAGCTCCCCATACATAGTGAGTAAACACATACTAGTCACAAGGACTGTTTAGTGTATGTCAACAACGTAGTCAATTTGTTATCGGATGGGTGGTCCGAGACAAAACAGCCGTTAGTGACTTGTCCAAGATCATTCTATGACTGATGGATCTGAGGTTCGAACACAGTATCTTGTGGATATGTGTCAAACAACTTAACCATTCAGCCGTAGCAGCCATCTATTCTGTGAGTCCTAGCTATAGGCAAAATATCAACCCAAACGGAGAGTATCATCTGGGGAGGTTCCCTCGTAAGTGAATAATACTTGGATGTAGTTGGTCATCATTTGAATATGAAAAACCAAGATAAAAATATTCGCATGTAGCTGCTTATTTTATTAGTATTTCAGTACAAAATTTTATAATACTATTCAACACAATTATAGTTACTAAACTTCTCTCAATTAACCCTCTAAATATCAATAAATATATCACACGAGACGTAGACCTATGAATTAAAACAACATGACTAGTACCAATTTTTTAAAATTAATTATTGACAATGACTTTTATTTTTTCAATATTTTTTCCATAACTTTTATTTAAATAAATCAATGCAAATAATGCAACATTTATATTAATATAGAACGAGAATAATTATTTTCATATGAGTTTGTGACACATTCTGCAATTACTCTTCTATCGATTGATACTTCGCATTTTATCTTTAACTGTGACTATCATTTTATCATTTTCATAATTAAATAACACAATATCAAAAATATCTTCGACTGACATTTTAGAAAATCTTTTCAAAAATAGTAAAAGAATAATTTTAATGAACAGTTAAGTTTGTTCTAGAGAATTTTGTTGGAAACTTGTCATTCTGAATAATTCAACATGTCGGAATGCTTATTACCACAGGGATTACAATCTTCCGAAAATACAAAACAAGTTACATATCTTGACAGCTCAACTGAACACAAAATTTATATCGAGACTGGCTTAATCAATGCATTAAACGAATTAAAAACTGATAGATTCTCTGAAGGTTTCCAAATACCAATTTATTTATTAGCATCTGTAGATGCCAATATCAATGGTGAATTTGAGAAACGGTTAAAAGAGGCAACTGAAAATAATTGTGAGAAACGCATTGCACTTATTCCGTATCATGCAGAAAATTCTCATTGGATTGGAATATTACTTGGATTTAAAGAGTCACAAAACATTCGACTTGCCGAATACATTGATCCAGTATCGAATTCACAATTTGTTTCTGATAAAATACAAAAAGAATTCAATAGATATTATTCTGATCACAATGTAATTTTATCTTCGAAAAAGTTAGAAACACACGATAATCCAACGAAAAGTGCACAGTTGACCATTCGAAACTTAATAAAACGTGCCGAAGAATTACAATCTATAGAATCCAATGATTCAAATAGTTTATTTGACGATTCGAAGTCACGAGAAGTTATACCAACTGCTTATGAATCACGTGGTGCACAAAGTAAAGTTTCGAATTTAGACTCTCCACGACGACCGTCAACGACTGATAGTGACTTAGATAATATTAAAAGTACAGATGAAACCAATTTTTCATTCTTAATGTTATCAACAGAACAACAAATAGAAGAATATCAAGTATCAGAAACTAGAGACTTTTCTTCTTCCACTTCAGATGATGAGACTGAGTATTCTAATAGTATAGTGCAGGAAGAAGATTTTACAAATGAAGAGAGTACAGAAAGCTTAGACAATTATTTTCTTTATATGCCAGAATGTTCAGAGAAATCCATGGCAAAACTAATGCATCTTTGCACTCAATTGTTAATGAATGAAGCCGTAATTCTCGAAGATAATATAGTAATAGCAAACAGTAGAGAAAGAGAAATGAAAAAAGAACTTGAATGTTTGAAACAACGATTGAAAATTGAGGAATTAGAATCTCCGCTGATTAAACGATCAATAGACAAAATTGGAGTAGATATGAAAGTTAATAATTGGAAATCTATTTATACGCAGTTAGAAAAAATATCAAAATTGATCAGTCCATTAAATATACAGCAGTTATTTAGACTTATAGACAAAGTTAACGATGCTGCAAAACTAGTGAAGGGAGAACATATTATTCTGCTGCTTGGAAACACTGGCAGTGGAAAATCAACCACAATTCATTTTGTTGGAGGCTCGAAATTTGAGCAAAGAAAAGTGAATGGAGTGAGTCATCTTTATCCAATCAATATCAAAAATCCAGATTTAAGAAAAATTACTACTTCACCGTCTGCTCAATCAGAAACTCAATATATTACGCCTGTTAGAATCGTCTATAAAGATGTAGGAGTCGAAATCAATGGCAGCATTTTAGTGTGTGATAGTCCGGGTTTTAAGGATAATAGAGGACCTGAAATAGATATTGCCAATGGAATCGGTATTATTAAAGCTATTAAACGATGCACAAGTGTCAAAATTGTTATTTTAATTAGTTATATGAGTTTGGGTGACAGATTCGATGGTGTGAAAGATTTAGCTCGGCTGTTATCAGGAATGATGCGAGATGTTAAAGACAATTTAGATAGATTTACTTATATTTTCACAAAATATCCAACTGAAAAACGTGATGAAATTCATTCATTACTAATCAACGCATACAATACATTAAGTGAAAATGACAAGAGAAATACTATTTTTGTTGATTTACTTCAAGATATGATCGACAAAACACGAGATAAAACATTGACTTTAGATCCACTAGAGGATAATCCTCGAGTTATTCTCCGTACACTTGATAAAGTACGAGCTATTACGCATCCGAAAGAAGTTTTTATATATTCTGTAGCAGATGAATCAAATAATACTTTGAAAGATCAATTGGAAAATGACAAAGCAAATATCAAATCTGCAATTAAACGTTTCGACTATTTATTTATCAAGTATAAACTTGATCAATTAAAACATTTAAATCAGATCTTTCGCGACGACAATATAAAAGGAGTTTATGATGAGTGTATTAAATATATATGTGAACATTTGTCGAAAGAATATGACGGAGCTATTTCTATTATCAATAATTTCCCTGAGAGCAAAATTATTTTAACTGATGAAAATATTAAAAACTACAAAACATGTATTGATCATGCTAAGCTTGCAGAACAATTAAGAAAAACTCATTTAGGAGAAAAAGTTGTTCATTGGACTACATTTATAGAACAATTGAATAATGTATCCAATGTTAGGTTAGAACAAATACGAGAGAAATAAATAAATGATCCATTAGTAAAAATAAATTTGGATACGATGAAATTTATTGTCGATTCGTTTAAAGATATCGATATCGATCGAAAGAAATATCATTCCATATGTCAATATTTCACAGAAAAACTTGAATTCATAGTTTCTTCTTTTCAAAATTCAGTGTCATTAAATAAATTCGATCAGAGTGAAGAGAATATTACAAAAATGTATGAAGCATTAAATAGTTTACAAGATCATTTAGATCGCGCACAGATGCAAGAAAAATACGATGGAATGAGACAATATTTTCTTAACCATTTAAATAATCCTGTCAAAAATTTATATAATATATTTAATAAAGAGAAAATAGATAATGATGGCATAGAGAATCTGAAAACATATATTTCTGTGTTAGAAAGTGCTAAAGAAGCGTCAACTTTTCAATCATATATCTCAAAAGAAAATATTGCTAATGATCTCTATAATGATTTTCTATCAAAAATATTCAATCAATTCGAAAAAGTTGTTCAGAGAATAAATTTCGAGCTTGAGAATGAAAATGCATTTTCTAAGTTAGAACCCTTTCTAAATGAATTAGATTTAATTAGAAATATTTCTATTATTGAGTTGAAAACAAATGAAATGTACGGAAATTTACTAAATAAAATTTTTGAGTATTTACATAATTTGAAAGTAGATACTGAACAATCCTTAAAAGATTTATCTCAGTCGGAAATCGAAATTAATTATGACAAAGTTCAAAAGTATCTGCACAATTTAGAAACTGCCGCATGGACAAAAAAATATCGAAATAAAGAATATTCACTTATCTTAACAGAAGTTAAACAACAATTAACTGAGCATATGAATATTAGGAAAAAATATATTATGGAAGTGAATTTAGATATTGAAAATTATGATAAAATCAAGACCATTTACAAAATAGTATTAAATTGGAATAAAATGAGGTATTTAGAGAATTTTGTTCCTGACATAAATCAATGTCTCGATGAAGCTCATCGTCGATTTCAATATGAGATAAATAAAGTATGCAGTTCTATTAAGAGTTCGTTCAATATAGACATATTGAAGGAACAAAATTTTCAAGTTATAGACTTTAATAAAGTTGAAAGATCATTTCGTTATTTAGATGCTTGTCAAAGAAGTCATTTTTCATTCGAAAATGACTGTACACTTATATGGAATGATTTGAAAAAGTTCATCAATCATTATAGTTGTTTTATTCGAGAAGAAATTGAAATGCATTTTGAAACAATGAATAACTTAGGAAATATTGACAAAGAAAAGATTTCTGAAACTTGTCGTGTATTATCAAATCGATTGATAGAAGTTTTCGAAATAAAACAAAATTATTCCTATGTTTTTTCTTCTTTTTCACATATAAATATTGAGCATTGGCAAAAAGTATTGTCTAGACATCAAATCGAATTAGAACATGAAATTGCAAATCTGTATGATACACATCAAATTAATTCCTTAGAGAATAAACTAACTACTGTCAAAATCTTAATTAGATTTGATAGATTTTTGGAAGGAAACAAATATTCTGATATTCATTCAGAATATTACGAGAAATTACAACAACTTCAAAAGAGAAATGATTTTTGTAAAAAAGTAACAGATGCTATTAAACAACATGACTATATGGTAGTTGCTCGAGAAATCGAAGTATTAAAATCTTCAACGAATGTAGCAGAAGATTTCTATGAGAAAATTAAACAGATTCTGAATCAAGGATTTGATGATTTGATAGAAGATACAGAAAGACAAGCAACTGAGATTCAATATGATTTAGAAATAGAATTAATTAAATCAATTGGAAAAAATATTAAACGAATTGAAAATGCAAAGAGATATGTGTCGGAATATGTTGATACATCAAACAAACTTGATAAATGTCTAGACAAGGTTAAGTCAACGATTATGAGAACATTTAGATTGATTTTGGACAAAGTCAAAGAACTCGTCAATGTTAACGACATTTATCAAATCGATCAAAAAATAAGTTTAATAAGTGAAGCACATATTTTATTAGGTAATTATTGTGACACAAACATTTTTGACGATATTCAAGCAATTAAAGAGGAACAAAAACGGATTGTTTTGAATGACATAGGTGAAAAATATTTAGATATGGACCTTGATAATTATTCATTGTATCCTCCAAAAGCACTTATTATCAAGATCGAAGAAGCTAAGAAAACGAACAATTTATTTGAACCAGCATTAGAGAAAATAAA